GGAGCGTGCAGTTCATCAGGAAGGTAACAGGACCAGAAAACAGTCCCAATGAAGGCAGACAGACCCTCGATGAGGCCGGCTGAAAGAAGAGCTGCAAAGGATTTAAAGTCCAGAAAACTCAGACAGGCAGGAGACTCAGAGACGTGTTAGAAAGACAAAAGAGATGGGGACTGGATTGTTTGGTTTAAGTCAGTCAACAAACTCAGCTCTCAGAGTCTTTTTCCCGGGCTTTAAGAATATGATTCATTTATCAGAAGTTTGATTCCTTCAGGTTTGTGTGTGAAATTATTCTACAAACTACCCCGGAATATTTGAATTAGTCAACGCCTAAAATTACTTTAATGTGACAAAAACTACAAAAGTATTTGTAAAAAAAACAACAACTAAGACTCACAGCGTGTGACAGGAGCGAGCGTCAGCGACAAATTGTTTCCTATCGGAGTGTCCTAACAGCCGACACGCCATTTTGATTTTCCTCTCTGTCGCTCATGTAGACGGACGAGGAACGAGGAAGGAGGGGTCTCTACATGGCGCTGACCCTCTCTCTCCTCCCTCAGCAGAGCTCGTTAGCTTGTTTTAAAAAGTGTGAATAGTGGTGCTTTAATAATATCCACATCATGATTGAAATGTTGACCTTTGACCTGTGTCAACAGCGGAGAAAAACTTTACTCAGCTCACCCCGAGACGTTTACTGACGACCCTCTGAGTGTTGAGATTTGAGTCAACAGCTCATCAACACAAAACTCCACCTTCAAAATAAAAGTACCACACTTCAGTTTGTGCACCGTCAAAATAAAAGCACCACACTACAGTCTGTGCACCTTCGAAATAAAAGCACCACACTTCAGTTTGTACAACTTCAAAATAAAAGCACCACACTTCAGTTTGTACAACTTCAAAATAAAAAAACTACACTTCAGTTTGTACAACTTCAAAATAAAAGCACCACACTTCAGTTTGTACAACTTCAAAATAAAAGCACCACACTTCAGTTTGTACAACTTCAAAATAAAAGCACCACACTACAGTTTGTGCACCTTCGAAATAAAAGCACCACACTTCAGTTTGTACAACTTCAAAATAAAAGCACCACACTACAGTTTGTGCACCTTCGAAATAAAAGCACCACACTTCAGTTTGTACAACTTCAAAATAAAAGCACCACACTTCAGTTTGTACAACTTCAAAATAAAAGCACCACACTTCAGTTTGTACAACTTCAAAATAAAAGCACCACACTTCAGTTTGTACAACTTCAAAATAAAAGCACCACACTTCAGTTTGTGCACCTTCAAAATAAAAGCACCACACTTCAGTTTGTGCACCTTGCATTGATGTGAATTTGGACGATAATAACAACAAAATGGCTCCACAGCAAAAATAGATTCCGGTGGCTTTCAGGAATCAAACAGCACTGACGAACTTTGTGCTTCGATGGCAGAACAAGAAGAAAGTTCCTGTCAAGACTTTGACTTTGTCCTGATTCTCAGAAACACAGCATGAGGCAGCAGCTTGAAGCCCTCAAGTTAAAGATAGAAAAAAACAAACGTACATTAATACTTGCTTTCAATATGGAACGTGGAATAGTAAACCGGCCCGACCTCGATGTTAGTGACGCTTCAATGCCCCCATCTTACCTGACGACTCAGAAAGTCCTTCTAAATGAAACGCTTGTGTTTCTAACTCAAGGTGGAGGACTGAGAACCTTTTTACGCTCAAGAGAATATTTGATTTTGACCATTTAGACAGCCCATTGTAACGCTTCTGTTTGTTCATGTGAGTATACTGTTTATACTACACAGGGAAAAAAATATTGAGTGATCTAATGTCTGGAAAATATGAGACAAACAAGACGCTTTTAAGTTAGCAGCAGCTCAGCTTGCAGCCCCTGAAGCTCCACCAGACAGCATTGGAGATACACAGTATTTTAACGAGAGGAATCGCTTTATTCAGCGTTTAATTAGCGTTAATTACAAGGACTGATGTTTTCAGAGAGGAGGGGACCTCCACAAATAATTTGAGCCCTGGTTAAACATCTCTTAAATTATGCAACTGTGAAGGAGTCATAATGTAGTAGCTCAGCTCACAGCCCTTTCTGACTCTCTGTCAAACAAAGAGTGCCAGTCAAAGACGTATGGTCTCCTCTGCCCACATTAGAACCAGTTCAAGTCTTCTCTGCCCACATTAGAACCAGTTCAAGTCTTCTCTGCCCACATTAGAACCAGTTCAAGTCTTCTCTGCCCACATTAGAACCAGTTCAAGTCTTCTCTGCCCACATTAGAATCAGTTCAAGTCTTCTCTTTTATATTCCTGCAGACATGGAAGAACACTTTGGATCGTTATCCAGAGACTCTGCTGGGTTCTTCAGAGAAGGAGTTCTTCTACAATGAGGACACACAGGAATTCTTCTTCGACCGAGACCCTGAAATGTTCCGACACATCCTGAACTTTTACCGCACCGGGAAGTTGCACTACCCTCGACATGAGTGCATCCAGGCCTTTGACGAGGAGCTGGCCTTCTACGGCATCGTGCCCGAGATCATTGGTGACTGCTGCATGGAGGTAAACCTTTTATTCTCTGTGCTGATTGTCAAACTTTTCTCTTTGTCTTATTATTTAATCCACCATGAGCACTTTTTAAAGGCTCTACCTCCAATACTACACTTAGAGACTTGAGGTACGAGAAGCTGGTCTTTATTCTGGGAGGTCTTAGAGGGGTAATATGAAGGTTTTGTAGATAAGAAGAAGGATTGTATACATATGGACATACGCACATCCTGGCTGTCAGACAGGAGAAAGCATGCAGGCCTCACCTGAAACTCTGGGGATTGAGAGCAGCCGCCCTCCATCCCATCCCTCTACTTGATTGGTGTCTGGCTGCAGCATTCCTGACCAGTTACAGTGCGACTGGTTTGTCACAGTGTAGAGGAAGGGAAAGCTTTCAACTTTCAAGTCACCGATTGAGGGGAATTTTTGAAATAGTACAGAGTTGAAAGAAGCTGGATTGCTTCTTCTACCTGACGGTTTGAAGCAGTGTCAAGTCTAAATCCATGGTTCCATGGCGTGGGGCCTGATGGAGCTGGACAGGGGACTCAAGTTGTTGGAGACCTGTTTGATGGCATCCTGGAAGGGGAGCACAGTGTCAGTTTTGCCTAAGTTAGTTTCTTAAACATTTGAGCAAATCAGTTTTCTTAATGATCACAAGATAATCGAGATTAGAATGATTATTTGAATTTTTTGGGAGATATACTTGAGTGTCATCTGCATAACGGAGGTATGAGAGGTTTTGCTTCTCGTATTTTATTGTGTTGTATCATTTTGTGCCGTTGCGTCTTTGGTTGTATGGCATCGTGTCTTATCATGTCTAATAGGATCATTTTGTATTTTGTTGTGTAGTATCGTATGGTTTTACTTTGTGGATTGTTTTAACAGTTTCCAAACAGGAACCAATGCAGATCAAAATGTAGTCTTTTACCAAATCTGCTGCTCAATATCAACATGTGTAGACATGTAAGATGAGTTCAGAAAAGATGAAGTAGTTTTGCTCAGATATTGTAGGTATTCCTTGTTCCACTCTTCTGATTTGTAGATAAATCCGATCAGATCATTTTCTTTAATGCAAGAGTAAATTCTCTACTCTTACTCTCTCTTTTTCTGATTTAAAAATAATGTTCCTGGGTCAGGGTGTACAATGGATCCAGGGATCTTTGCCTGTGGCTGATTTAATTTAATGTCGACCCTTGCTGTTTTGTATTTTATCATATCGTTTATTTCTTGTTAGCGGACTTTGTTGCAACAGTTTCCCAACAAATATCTTTCATGTGTGTCGTATCCTACAGTAGCACATCAAACCATTTTTATTTGGACACTTTTGGTGCAGCACTTTCTAATCTTATAAACCTCTATTCATCCCACTTAGACTTCAATGTTAACACTTTGTTTCTCTCACTGTGACTGACTTCCTCTGTCTGGTTTCTTCCTAATATTTGACTGCTATGTTGGGTTGTTTGGCTGCTGCTCTTGGAGAACAGCATCATCAGCTAAATTACTGAAATCATTGATGGATCTGAGGGGGATCCTAACCAGCTCTGCTCTCCAACTCCATTATCTAACTGCAGCTCATTAAGCCAACAGTGATGAGCCCTCGGAAACACCAGCAGCTCAGATGCATTCTTTAGTGCTACTGTTTTTGGCTCGCTTTATACCCAATGGCTCTGTAAGTGATTTCTGTAACGAGTCACAAACAACACACCCCTGCTTTATATCACCTTTTTGGTCATATTAGCGCTGCCTTCAGAGCCCTTTAAATCATCTTTGTATCCTTGATTTTATTACTGACCCGTCCACTGACTCATGAATGGATAATTGTTCTTTATGTCCTCACATTTTGGCCGGCACCGCGATGTTCACAAATGTTGATTTTAACTGTGAGAGCTTCTAATTTCTGCTTTTTCACTTCCCCCACAGTTTCCCACGAGTGAGTCCACATGATTTTTATTTTTACTCTTCTAGTAATTTCACAGATCCTGCTGCTTCCTCTCGTTACCTTTGGCGTCTGATGTAGGATTTGAGAATTGTTTGAAGAAGGATTCTGTCTTTCTAGACGGGTTTATTAGCCAGCGTGGAGGTGGATCGGTTGATTAGCAGTTTTAGCAGTTCCTCGAAATGAATCCAAGATTTTCATGAGACAGTTTCAAGCCTCTTTGTAAACAGATGAAACCTCTGACATGCATGTAGGCTCTCTTCTCCATATATCGAGAATAAGACGATAAATAAGGAGGTTTTTGACAACACCTAAGAGATTTGAAACTTTCTACAATCTCAGTATCAGCTGATTGAAAAACCGTTGGTATATACGGCTTGGTGGGGACTTTCTAAAATCAATGATCATGTCACTAAGCCACAAAGTAATCCACCACTGGCCCGTGACCCTGCTCCCCACCCTCAAGACAGCTGACAATACAGTGTCATCAGCAAATTCAAGACCGATCTCTTTGGTATACATAATGTGCACTAGGAGTGAGGGCTTGGGTGGTCTCAGTGCTTTCCCGCTCCATGTCCTATTGTTTACGGTGAGAAGGCAGACTCAGAGGGCAGAACAAACACCTAGCTGTGGGAGTGTCACCCACCTGGGGGAGGGGCTACTGCCCTTTGTGATGTCATGAAGGGAAAATCTCCAAACGGCCTGTTTGAGCACACATTTTCTGAAAAGTGGAGCAGGCAGAAGACAGAGAGGATGGACTTTTCTCATCATTGGGGGGTTTGTAGACGGACTAGAGACACATGTTAGAGTTAGAGGAACATGGAGAAGAGGAGCATAATAAAGATCGCTAGCATTAGCATGCTAACACAACAATGCAGAGCGAGTTGTTTTGGTTTCATGCTGGTGCTCAAGGGCGACATCTGCTGGATCAAAAAATCACATAGAAAGCCTTTAAGGGTTCAAATTTAGTTTACCCCATATTTAATATATAATACCATATTGATACCATTTCTAGCTTATATTTCAGCTTCTGTTTTTTTTTTGGGAGAATGTTTGTCCTTTAACTTCCTAAACGCACGTTTTGTCTTTGAGTCGTGGTCATTGTTTGTTTTTTCAGCACTAACTTCATGAACTCGTTTGTTTATCTCTTTTGGGTGATGTTCCTCCCTCTTCTCTGTGAAGGAATACCGGGACAGGAAAAAGGAGAACCAGGAGCGTCTGGCCGAAGACACCGAGGCCAACGAGGGGATGGACGCCCCCCTCCCTCCAAACAGCACCTCCAGGGAGCGTCTGTGGCGAGCCTTCGAGAATCCCCACACCTCCACCATGGCGCTTGTCTTCTATTACGTCACCGGCTTCTTCATCGCCGTCTCCGTTATCGCCAACGTGGTGGAGACGGTGCCGTGTCGGCCCCCTAAAGGCAGCGTGAAGGACCTTCCCTGTGGGGAGAAATACCAGCTGGCGTTCTTCTGCATGGACACGGCCTGCGTGCTCATCTTCACCTTCGAGTACCTCATGCGCCTGTTTGCCGCGCCCAGCCGCTGCAAATTCATGCGCTCGGTGATGTCGGTGATCGACGTGGTGGCCATCATGCCGTACTACATCGGCCTTGTGATGCCCGAGAACGAGGACGTGAGCGGCGCCTTCGTCACCCTCAGGGTTTTCCGCGTCTTCCGGATCTTCAAGTTTTCCCGCCACTCGCAGGGCTTGAGGATTTTGGGCTACACGCTGAAGAGCTGCGCCTCGGAGCTCGGCTTCCTGCTCTTCTCGCTCACCATGGCCATCATCATCTTCGCCACGGTCATGTTCTACGCCGAGAAGGGCACCAAGGGCTCCACCTTCACCTCCATCCCCGCCTCCTTCTGGTACACCATCGTCACCATGACAACGCTGGGGTGAGTTTTGTGTGTATTTGCTGTGACATCTGACTTTAAAGCAGATTTTTTTTATTACTCGCTGCCTGCTTAAACGGTCGCCACAGAAACAGGCGAGCGGGCGCCTCTCGGGCTCTGGGCAGAAAATCGGCGTTGTTGTGTGTCGGGGACGTGGATGTGCCGTTATTATTGGCTGTGCGGAAGAGTTTTACAGTCTGTTTCCACCATGAAAAGAGATGAAGTGTGAAACATCCAAACTGTGTGTGTGTGTGTGTGTGTGTGTGTGTGTGTGTGTGTGTGTGTGTGTGTGTGTGTGTGTGTGTGTCCGCCTCCCACTCGCGGCTTCTCGAGTATGGTGGTGTATCTTCACCCTGCTGCTTTCGCCCACATACACTCTCTGCTGCTGCCATGTGGATAGAGAGAGAGAGAGTGTGTGTGTGTGTGTGTGTGTGTGTGTGTGTGTGTGTGTGTGTGTGTGTGTGTGTGTGTGTGTGTGTGTGGTGATGATGATGGTGATAGTCTTCACCCTGCACATTATCTATTATCTGCTGTTCAAAGAGCTGCTGGAAACATCAGAAATGAAAGACGAGCATTCACTGCATCTGATCCACCATACCACTTCACAACACACACACACACACACACACACACACACACACACACACACGTCTATATGACTCTGTACTCCTACCTGTCTGTGAATGGGCGAAAGTGTGAGATCAGAGGGTGTGAATGGGAGAGTGTGGAGTCAAACAGTTCAGTGTTGTTGTAAACACTGTGATTATTTCTCAACCAATCAGTGATCAATACGATCGGTGAAGACTTGAGACACGTTCCCTCATCTGACACTGAAGTCTGTTAACTCCTCCCCCTCATCGACATCGTGCTTCTGTTGACAATCAGAGAAGCTAAAGAACCTCGTCCGTGTATTACAGGATTTAGATTAAATCTGACTCTGCTAGCATCTACACCCCGTTGTTAGGTAACTGTTAGCATGTAGCATGTATGTGTTTGTGTATTTAGCTGTTACCATGACGACTGTAGGGCGGGGACTGAGGGGCTCATTTGTTACATGCTAATTGAGTTTGGTTTTTGAGGTTCCAAACTTATAAAGCTGACTTGAAGTGTAAGATGGTGTTATACTGTGGTGGAGCGAGTGAGGAGAGAGAGAGAGGAAGTGTGTGTGTGTGTGTGTGTGTGTGTGTGTGTGTGTGTGTGTGTGAGAGTAACGCTGTTAATGCCTGGGAGCGGAGGAGCAGAGGAACGACTTCTTCCTCTCTTCTTCTTGTTTCCTCTTCTTCCTCTCTTCTTCCTTTCCTCTCCTTCCTCTCTTGTTTCCTCTCTTTCCTCTCTTCTTCTTGTTTCCTCTCCTTCCTCTCTTCTTGTTTCCTCTCTTTCCTCTCTTCTTGTTTCATCTCCTTCCTCTCTTCTTCTTGTTGCATCTTCTTCCTCTCTTCTTCCTTTCCTCTCCTTCCTCTCTTGTTTCCTCTCTTTCCTCTCTTCTTCTTGTTTCCTCTCCTTCCTCTCTTCTTGTTTCCTCTCTTTCCTCTCTTCTTGTTTCATCTCCTTCCTCTCTTCTTCTTGTTGCATCTTCTTCCTCTCTTCTTCCTTTCCTCTCCTTCCTCTCTTGTTTCATCTCCTTCCTCTCTTCTTCTTGTTTCCTCTCCTTCCTCACTTCTTGTTTCCTCTCCTTCCTCTCTTCTTGTTTCCTCTCTTTCCTCTCTTCTTCTTGTTTCATCTCCTTCCTCTCTTCTTCTTGTTTCCTCTCCTTCCTCACTTCTTGTTTCCTCTCCTTCCTCTCTTCTTGTTTCCTCTCTTTCCTCTCTTCTTCTGGATTCCTCTCCTTCCTCTCCTTCCTCTCTTCTTCCTTTCCTCTCCTTCCTCTCTTGTTTCCTCTCTTCTTCTTGTTTCATCTCCTTCCTCTCTTCTTCTTGTTTCCTCTCCTTCCTCACTTCTTGTTTCCTCTCCTTCCTCTCTTCTTGTTTCCTCTCTTTCCTCTCTTCTTCTTGTTTCATCTCCTTCCTCTCTTCTTCTTGTTTCCTCTCCTTCCTCACTTCTTGTTTCCTCTCCTTCCTCTCTTCTTGTTTCCTCTCTTTCCTCTCTTCTTCTGGATTCCTCTCCTTCCTCTCTTCTTCTTGTTTCCTCTCTTTCCTCTCTTCTTCTGGATTCCTCTCCTTCCTCTCCTTCCTCTCTTCTTGTTTCCTCTCTTTCCTCTCTTCTTCTGGATTCCTCTCCTTCCTCTCCTTCCTCTCTTCTTCCTTTCCTCTCCTTCCTCTCTTGTTTCCTCTCTTCTTCTTGTTTCATCTCCTTCCTCTCTTCTTCTTGTTTCCTCTCCTTCCTCACTTCTTGTTTCCTCTCCTTCCTCTCTTCTTGTTTCCTCTCTTTCCTCTCTTCTTCTTGTGTCCTCTTCTTCCTCTCTTCTTCTTGTTTCCTCTTCTTCCTCTCCTCTTCCTTTCCTGTCTTTCCTCTCTTCTTTCCTCTCTTTCCTCTCTTCTTCCTCTCTTCTTCCTTTCCTCTCCTTCCTCTCTTGTTTCCTCTCTTTCCTCTCTTCTTCTTGTTTCATCTCCTTCCTCTCTTCTTCTTGTTTCCTCTCCTTCCTCACTTCTTGTTTCCTCTCCTTCCTCTCTTCTTGTTTCCTCTCTTTCCTCTCTTCTTCTTGTTTCATCTCCTTCCTCTCTTCTTCTTGTTTCCTCTCCTTCCTCACTTCTTGTTTCCTCTTCTTCCTCTCTTCTTGTTTCCTCTCTTTCCTCTCTTCTTCTTGTTTCATCTCCTTCCTCTCTTCTTCTTGTGTCCTCTTCTTCCTCTCTTCTTCTTGTTTCCTCTTCTTCCTCTCTTCTTCCTTTCCTCTCCTTCCTCTCTTGTTTCCTCTCTTTCCTCTCTTCTTCTTGTTTCATCTCCTTCCTCTCTTCTTCTTGTTTCCTCTCCTTCCTCTCTTCTTCTTGTTTCATCTCCTTCCTCTCTTCTTCTTGTGTCCTCTCCTTCCTCTCTTCTGGATTCCTCTCCTTCCTCTCCTTCCTCTCTTCTTGTTTCCTCTCTTTCCTCTCTTCTTCTGGATTCCTCTCCTTCCTCTCCTTCCTCTCTTCTTCTTGTTTCCTCTCCTTCCTCTCTTCTCCCTTTCCTCTCCCTCCTCTCTTCATCTCCTTCCTCTCTTCTCCCTTTCCTCTCTTCTTCTCGTTTCCTCTCTTCCTTCCTCAGTCTTCAGGTCCATTAGGTTTCCGCGGGGAGAGGCCGACCTCTAAATGGATTCTCGCGGCAGCAAAACACGACCCAGGCTTTTACCTCCTCCTCCTCCTCGTCTCCTCTCCTCTGCTCTCAGTTTCTTCCTTGTTGGGAGTATCCTCTGTTTTTCCTCCTCTCTCTCTCTGAGAATCCAAAGAGAAGAATCTGATCCGTCTTTCTGTCGTGTTCCAGTAAAATATTGATTTGGTTGATCGTTTCTGATCACACAGATGATCTGTGGAGGAAGAGTGGCAGCTTTTGGGAAATCTCTCTCACACGACTTTACATTAAAAAAATAATCAGACTATAATCCATTTTCTTAAAGATGGAGTCAGTAGAAACATTCATTCAAACTGGGCCCCTCTTCTTCTTCTTCTTCTTCTTCTTCTTCTTCTCGTCTCTCTTCGGCTGCAGTCCGATCACTTTGTGTTTCTTTCAGTCTGCCATCATTGTTTTTCATCACGCTGCTTTTATTGCTCTGCTCCTGTTTTATCACTGTGCAAATAAACTGGGAGGGAAATCATAAACCTATTGCAGCTCCTCCAGAAGCAATATATGTGAGGTGGGGGTTTGGGGGGGGATCTGCTGCCAGGAAAACATGTTTGCGTCTGGACTGCAGATAATCCACACCTCCCTCCAGGTGCTCTGATTAAAAAATAACTTCCAGTCCAATAATTAATCACTCATTCCTCGGGGGAAATCTTCCACTAACAAGCTGCTGTTATCACACAGGGAGTTTCTGTTGAAACTAAAGGAACACACCTGAGGAACTTTATCCAACACAAATGAAACACTCCTACCTGTGTCACCTCATTTCCTCCTCGAGATAACGAGGAAGTGGAAACGTGACCAGACTGTCGGGGAAAAGGAAACTAGGGCTGAAACGATACCAGAATTTTAAAGTTAGGGCTTTCACACCTGTAGGAAATTCCTCCGGCCTCCTCGTATTTATTCTGCAGAAAGTCAGAGTGAGTAGTCAGTGGGTTAGGGCGGGCGAGGACTGAGGGATTGTGGGATACTGAGTATTTGTTATTTTTGAGTGTTTGAGTTTATATTGTGAGTTCATTTAATATAAGACTATTTAGCTTTGAATTCCATGGGTTGTGGAGTTTTTATTTGTAGGGTTTTGTCATTTAATGTAAGGGTGTACACTTTTTGTGTACAATCCTTGTGTAACGTTTTGGTTTAAATAATCCAAACAAAAAACTCAACTCAAACTTAAAACGACAAAAACCACCGACTTATCTTAAATACCAAGAGAGAGACCTGGCTGGAAACCCTAAAACAAAATATTAAAGAGCAAAATAAAATCAAGTCAAACTGTCACAGTCTGACAGACTGCGGTGTGCATGGAGTATGTGGGGATAGGGGGTCGTAAATATCCTACATGTGAGGCGTGTTTGGATCGCTGTCTGTTCAAGGAAACACAGAAAGCTGCTTCCTTTATTTTGTGCTTCACTTAAAAAACATGATTCAGTTTGTAACTGGAGCTTACATGACATGTTACTGATCATCAGTCTGAAGCTGAAGGTTTGATTTCTCTTACATCAAACAAACATATGTGAAGTAACTGTGTGTGTGTGTGTGTGTGTGTGTGTGTGTGTGTGTGTGTGTGTGTGTGTGTGTGTGTGTGTGTGTGTGTGTGTGTGTGTGAGCAGCAGCAGGGCACTTTACCATCAACATTATTTATAAGAAGAAGATGGGAAGCAGCCATTTCCTCTGAGGAACAGGATGTATATGAGAGGAGCGAGCGAGATGGAATTATAGAGCATCTCCACGCACGGCGCACGCTCCTAATGTTT